GTAATAAACATTTGAAATCCTATGGTTTATGAAGAACTTGTTGGTTTCTGTTGAGGATTGGAAAGCTACGCTTTTGACATTTGCTGGTAAATTTATTTATTTTCTCAAATCAGGAATAAACTGAAGGATGCAGCTGAGAACGTTGGCCTTCCTACTTTTGTTGTTGCCGATGCTGGACGCACACAGGTACAATCTGCGCTCTAGTCTTGAATGGTGGGGTCACCAGGAACAATATGCTTGACATGGTGAACTATTAATGTTTATATTTTAGAACAGCCAAATGATTTTTGACATATTATACTGACATTTATGGGTACTATATGTCCTATGAATGTGATGTGTTGATAATTGATTGAAAGAAACGCTTCATGTTATTTGAAGATTGATGATTCCATCCTGTTTAGTTTAGCTCAATAAACGAGACGAACACCTAGCGAGTCATGTTTGTATCCATTTCGTTTCACAAAATAAATTCAGTTCCCTGGAACCTGGTATCCCGAAACTGGGTTCAATAATATGCAGGTTTCAGCTGGATCAAAGACTGTTCTTGCCATTGGACCTGGTAATGCTTCTTTACCCTATGATGATAGAATTCTAAGGTTGTCTGATTGATTTTCCTCGTATCACTCTGCTATGTTAATATGTGGGTTGAGTTGAGTTTCAGAAAGTTTAATAATTACGGCATACTTTTAACACTCCCTATTTTATTTTATTTTATTTTATTTTTTTGAGTTAAACCACGTTTCTTGGTGAGGATTTGAACCTCTGACCTCTTAGTTGAGGTACTTGTCATTTTTTGTTGAGCTATGCTTAATTTTGCATGCTCTCTTGTACTTGTGGGCTTAGACAATAGCACGGAACCTAATAAATAGTGATTGTGAGATCTCAAATCGGTTGGAGAGAGGAACGAAACATTCTTTATAAGGGTGTGGAAACATCTCCCTAGCTAAAGCATTTTAAAATCTTGAGAGAAAGTCCAAAGAAGACAATATATGCTAGCGGTGGGCTTGAGCCGTTACAAATGGTATTAGAACTAAACACCGAGCGATGTGACAACGAGGACACTGAGCTCAAAGGGGGGTGGATTGTGAGATCTCATATCGATTGGAGAGGGGAACAAGTGACAGCAAGGATGTTGGGCCCCGAAAGGGGGTGGATTGTGAAATCTCACATTGGTTGGAGAGGGAAACGAAGCATTCTTTATAAGAGTGGAAACTTCTCCCTAGCAGGCTAGACGTTTTAAAACCTTAAGGTGAAGCCTGAAAAGAAAGATAATATCTATTAGTCGTGGGTTTGTGCTTAGGCTTAGGCTGTTACATCTGCATTATAGGAGCTCAAACACATGGCTTTTAATACTCTATTAAATCACCTCTAAACTCATGAATTTTGGTAAGTTCAATTACTAATTCATATTCTTAACCGTATATGCATCGTCCATCTCTCTTTTAAACAGGGCCAAAGGAGTTCATTGATGCCGTAACTGGAAAACTCCGCCTACTCTAGTCGGGTTGGAATCAAGACATACAGTCACACACGATTTAATCTAACAATGAATCCGTGTTGTTCTCGTTCAGCATTCATCTCATTGAGGTCTCAAAGAAGGGTTGATGCACATGGTGGCGGCCAAGTTGTAGCTGCCTGGCTAGTAAGGAAGAAATGCTCCGTTAAGTATTCTTATGCTGAAACATCGCTTAGTTATTGTTGTCAATTGGTTGTAGTTTTGGAATGTAGGAGTGACATTTTCAGGATGCAACTTTTGTTCTTGAAGACTATTTTAAAGACTAATGGGCTGCTTCAAATCTTCTACGAAAAGTTATCAATATTTTGAACTTTTTAGAAGGAAAAATATTTAAACTACTCTAAGTGGAACCTCTTTCGAGCAAAAATGTTATAAAATCATGAGATTGACATCTATTCGGACTAAAGTAGACAATATTTACTAGCGGTGTGTTTGGGCTGTTACAAATGGTATCAAAGCTAGTCATTAGGTGGTGTGCAATAAGGATGTTGGCCCTAAGAGGATGGGTTTGGGCTGTTACAAATGGTATCGAAGCTAGTCATCGTGTGGTGTGCAATGAGGATGTTGGCACCAAGGAGATGAATTTTGAGATCCTACAACACTTGAGGAGGGAACGAAACATTTCTTATAAGAAACTTGTTTTTAGCAGAAGAAGCGAACAATATCTACTGATTGTGGTTTTGGACCATTACACCAATTTATACCAAAGAGAAAATAACTCGAGCAATATATTTAAGGCTTAAGGATTTGGATTTTTTTTTTAAGATATAATATTATTAGCCCACTTTGATATAAAATTGAGAGTTTTAAATAATTTGTCTTAATACATTTTTTTTTATGGATTAAAACAAAAATGTCTAAATAAATTTATTAATTTAGAGAGAATAAATGGATTTTTGCTATAAAAAAAATGATTTATGTAAGGCGTGCGGACTATGAAAAATAAGCCGCCAAAACCTTTCTTCTTATCGGACTTGTTAGGCAGCTCCTGAAAAACCCTAATTCTCAACTTCTTCTCTCCCTTCATTTCCAATGGCTTCCCGCTGTCGATCTCTTGCAACCCCAACTATTTCCCTCATCAAATCCACCTTAACCAAACCCTCCATTAAAGCAACACCAGCTTCTTTCTTCACTGTCCGTTCTTCGCCCACAATTTCCAGGCAAGCGAGATTATTGATCACTTTTTTTGCCCCATTAGTGAATTTTCTCTTCTTTGTGATTTTACCATTTGCTTAGGGTTTAAGAGTGATTTGATTCTTCAGGTTGGTTCCGCGGTTGGGTTCCCTTGAATCTCTGCTTCCTCTTCATTCAGCAGTCTCTTCGGCGCGGCTAACATCGTGTCTTGGAATCGATTCGGTGTCTTCGAGATCATTGTCTCAGGGTATGCTTTGCAGTGCCAATCCAGGAGTTTGATATCTCCATTCTTTGTAATTTTTTTATCTGTAAGCAACTTTTTAACTCTTGTATATGAATGGATTTTCTATTGTTTGTTATGATTCTCCCTAAATATAGTCCAATTTGAAGCTTTTTTCCATTAGTTTATGTGTTAAGTTTTTCAGTACCACCTTTTTCCCCTCCAAATATTTGCTCTGATTCGTATCTGCATCTCATTTGAAGGCCTGCTCGGATGACTGTTTCTCATTTGCTTGGGTTTACATATGGGTTTCAATACCTATTTCCTGGGCTTAAGAAAGCAACTAAAATTATAATTAAATTGACATTTGAAAGATGATAATTGATACTCCATGGCCGAACTAGGGAATGTTGTCATATTATAAGAACTATCATTTACATTTGCTGTGCCAGTATTGAATTTTTATAGGATTTTTATAGTTTTCACTGAATGCATCGTTCATACAACTCTTGGTTATGCACGTAGTATAAACTTGTATAGTGTTACATCCAATTGTCAATCTGCCCCTAAATGTGCTAATTTATACAGAGGCCTGATCGCATGTACTCTGCTTCAAGTTAGATATTGATATTTTCCAAACAGTATCAGGAGGAGTTATGCTCCTTCAAAGTTCTTCTAATGTTGAAAATACGTACAAGAAGTCACATAAAGACTGTAGCAAGTGCTTTTCAAACTGGTCCTGGTCCTGGTCCTGGTCCTGTTATTTTAATATATGGGATTAGTTTGTTGTGGGGATTTCATCTATGGTGTTTAAAAATCATTCCGTGGATTTTGCAACCTAAGCTTACATTCTTCATAATTCAATATTTTTCGAGATACTAACATGTTATTACATAGACATACAGAAAGTCTATTTATGGCAATTCAATATGCTCCAGTATGATCGGTTATTATTGAAACCAACAAATTTTCTTGAAGCATCCAAGTAGTTGTCAAGAATTTTGTTTTCATTGATGTTGTAAGTGTTACTCTGGAACTTAGCATCAATCTAATCTTAGCTCCTGAAGGAAATATATTGAATTGGATCTTGAGAAAATGTAGCAGTTGATATGGATTATAGACTAGCTTTCATAGAAAGTAGATAACAACAATACCCATGTAGTGCATTAGTTGTAGTTAGATAGATGACTGATCACTATAAGAGGGAGCAACCCTAGGAATGACTAGTGGTTATTTGGTGACATCATCTCTTAAATTAAAAGATCGAAGTATTTGCTTTCATATGTATGGCCTTCCATATTAGATACTTTTACTTTATCTGACTTTCATCAGTCGTGAAGTACTCGGTTTAGTTGATTCGCAATGAGCATTATAGAGGATGATAGCATTTATTTGAACTCTGAAGTATCTCCTCCACTTGAAGTAAAATGCTGAAGTAATTCTGGTTTTTTCAATGTGTTTCAGAATTAGGTCTCTGTGTGCCGCGATAAGGGATGGAATTTAGGAGAGTGCTCTGATTGAAGTGTGGTTATACACAAAGGGATGCAGAATCATACATTCTGTTCATCATATTGGAGCTGCCCCAGTATCTGTTTGTTGTTTAGGTTGAGGTTATAACTGATGAGACAACTCCACTCCCGAATATGTTCCCCCAATTCATTACACTCACTTTTCCCATAATTTTTCTTATCTGAGTATTATCAACACCATATGACCCCCTAGCGAATATGACTGATTACCCTCGTTTTTCGGGTGGTATTTTTTGGCTCTTCTCTTTGACTCTTTGAAGGAAACTCAGAATTTCATGAAATCCTTTTAAGACGTTCAAATTTGCTTGGCTTTACTTATATTTTGCCTGCTTCTGAAATGGTAAATTTTGTTCTCGTTTATATTTTTGGGAAGGAAACTGATAAGCACAGGCTATGAAGATTGTCAGAATGGAAGTTGGGGAAGAGGGGACAAAGCTTGTTTACAAACAATGCCACCACACCTACTGTTCATTGGATCGCCAACGTTTTTCGTTATTTAATTTGAAATTTTTCTGATTCCCGCTGGCTTCGTTTGGTTGTCATTAGAGAAGTCGAGGAGGTGGTGGTGGTGGTGGTGGTGGGCGGCGGCGGCGGCGGCGGGAATGGCGGCCGTTTTAATGGTGTCGGAGGAGGAATGGGAGCAAATTGTTGCATCAAAAGAAATAAAAGCCAAGCATGTCATGCACATGATACATATCGAAATACATTTTCCTCTTTTTCTTTTTTCATAATTTGTTAGTAGGCCGAAATTAGTAATAGGCCCAAACATAAACTTCATGTGTTCTGTCCCAGCTCTAATTAGGCCCATTGTCTTAATCCATGGCCGGCCCAACGTCTTTCTTGATGCTCTCGCTTCGACGATGGATTATCACCTTGCATTTCGGTATGTAATCGTGTTTACAGGTAAGAGTTTCTTCTTAGAATGATTTTCATATCTTTTGACATACTAATTCTGTTAATTTCTTCAAAACTGAAGAACACAACTTTGCTTGAATTAGTTCATGTAAACTAATCCTTTTTCTCTTCCTCTGACAGAAATGCCTTCAAATATAACATTATTTCGGCTTCTTCTTGTTCCAGCGACTTCTGTGTAGACATTGTGACCTTGATTGCCGCCTCCATGAGTAAGTATGTTGAAAATAGCATCAGTTTGTGTTTTTCTTTCAGTCAATTAGCTTATCTGCCGGAGTTTGTAATTTCAGGCCACTGGGTCGTGAGATTCCTGTTAAGTTCTATAAATAGTTACTGAGTTGAAAACCTGAGTAATGCTAATACATGGAATTCAAATCTCCTTACCTAGACTAAGGAGAAAAGTTGTGGGTAAGTGGAATCACCCCAATTTATAAATACAAAAAATTCAATGAGATAGACACTTTTATTGACTTTGTTAGGTTATCAATGTCATATTCTTACCTAATCTATCCAAATGCTAGCAAATTTTTAAGATTAAGCTGATATCAGGATCCTCTTGTCACTGTCATATTTGATCATTCATTTGTTTTTGATTTGGTATGAACATAGGAGTTTGTAGCTGGTAAAGACAAGAGAAAGTCATTAATTTACACCACCCTGTAGAACACGTTAAAGAAGAATGATTTAGACTAAGATTTAAGAAAATGTGCAACCATTTGGGGTCAATATTCAAGTAACTTGGTGGGTCTTATTTCTTAGCTAGCCATTAGATCAAGGAGAATTGGTTAGTGGGTTATAATGATTGCCATGTTTGTTGGTTCTTATTTTATTAAAAGTTGTTGTTCAGATGAGTATCACATAAAAAATTGTCAATTTGGGAGTTGGTTCTGAACCAATGAACCTCAAGATTGCTGTAAACAACCAAACTTTTGTCTACTTTTTGATAATTTGTTACGGAAATCTTGTTAATGACTCTTGGTAATTGAAATCATGTCTGAATACCATTTGGAGTGAAGCTTTGGATGCAGATTTAAGGTGCAGGACTGTTGTTAGTTGTCGCTGGTTGGCATGCGCGGCAGAGAGGCCTGCTTAGTTCATGCTTGTAAGACCATTTCGTAATACCTCGTTCTTAACGAAACTCAAACTAAATGGGGTTCTTTCTAATTCAACAGTTTTAGGAGTAGATATTGTACTTTTTGAACTTTTCCTTTCGAGTCTTCCCTCAAAGCTTTTAAAACGTGTCTGCTGGGGAGAAATTTTACATCTCGTTCCCTCTTTCAACCGATGTGAGATCTCAGTAGAACTTCACTTCATCCTATAATAGAATAAGATAAAGGGAGTAAAAAGATAATTTTAGGGCTACCAATTTCCTTAGGGTAAATAGAATAGCCCCAACCAGGAGACAAAGGAGTAACACATCCTGTCAAAGTTGTTAGGTGACTAAGGAACATAAATTTTACTATTATTTATTTCAAGGTCTTCTATGGGATCTAAAACAAACAAACATAACTGTAATTATATTAAACTATTCCATTTTCTTCTTTTTAATCCATTAAAAAAAAAGCTTACTAACTTCCACCAAAAACGACAAAATTAAGTAAAAATACAATAAATTTTCTATGAGAAATCTGATCTTCCGACCTCAATTCTTGCACAAAAAAATGAAAAAATTTGCAAAATTGAGAAAGGGAACGCAGATGGGGATGAAGAAGGTTTCTCGGTCGGTCGTGTACAACCCTAATTAGAAGTTTAAAAACTAAAATTTAAAATTTAAAAAAATATAAATGTAAGAAAATATTTAATTTTTGGTTAAGAGGGTCTTTACCTGACAGTTAGAAAGGGTTAAAGGATGATGAAACACGAGGTCCCACTTCCCCACAAGAATGTCCCTTCTGCTTTTGGCGCAAACTCTGATACGCCGAAAGAAGCGACACGCGTCGTTAATCCTGTGGTCCCAATTCCATCATTACATTTCTTTCCCATGTACATGCGCCGCACCCTAGTCTTCCCCTCCACCAATACGTACACTCTCGTATTTATACGGTAAAATAAGATCTCTCTCTCTCTAAAGTTACACGAAGTCGGGCCTGCCCGAACACACACTTTTTCTCGGGGCCACACGTGTGGACCACCACCACCACCTTCCCTTTACCCTTCACTTTTTCTAATACATTATTTCCTTGCCTTGCCTTCTGTGAATGTTTGATTAATCCACCACACCCAAATGGTGGTGAGAGTTCTCTTATTTATAATCATTTACAGAATACAGAAATAAGGTAAATTACAAATAATAAGGAAATAGCGATAAAAGGAAAGAATAATAAATGAATACAATATATTTGCATTTAGTAAAAGAGAAAATATGGTAACCCGTAATGTAAGGCAAATATCTAGATATTTGCCTTAATGAACGGTCAACTATCCTTAACACCCCCCCGCAAGCTGAGCGTCGGATTTGAACGAACATGAAGCTTGGATCTGAAAAATTCAAAGAGAGGTCGAGAAATACTCTTTGTGAAGATGTCAGCAACTTGGAGATGAGAGGGTACATATTGTGTACGAAGTTTGCCAGCGATAACAAGTTCTCGAAGGAAATGATAATCTAGTTCAACATGCTTGGCCCGCTTGTGAGAAACAGGATTAGAGCTCAAAAAAATAGCACTTTTGTTGTCACATAAGAGTAAGGGCTGCTGTGAAATAGGGACCTTGAGGTCATGCAAAAGATGCGTAACCCAAAGAAGTTCAGCAGCAGTTGTGGCAAGAGCACGATACTCAGATTCACAGCTGGAGCGTGATACAGTAGGTTGCTTTTTGGCACTCCAAGAAATGAGATTGTTACCAAGATAAATAGAATAGCCGGATGTAGAACGACGAGTATCGGGACAACCAGCCCAGTCAGCATCCGAATAAGCGACTAGCGTACTAGGAACAGTGGATGGACGAAAGATAAGACCAAAGTGGAGTGTTCCTTTGACATAGCGAAGAATACGTTTGACAGCAAGAAAGTGATCTGCAGTAGGGGCATGCAAGAATTGACTGACAGAATTGACAGCATAGGCAATATCTGGACGCGTGATAGTCAAGTACTGAAGGGCGCCAACAAGAGATCTGTAGAGAGTAGGATCAGAGAAAGGAGAACCATCAGCAGTCAGGTGTTGAGAAACAACCATGGGAGTGTGAACTGGTTTGCTATCGAGCAACTGAGCACGAGTAAGAATATCTCGAGCATATTTTAACTGACTGATAAAGAGACCATCAGGAGTGGGTGAAGCTTCAAGACCAAGAAAGTAACTGAGAGAACCCAAATCTTTGGTAGCAAACTCAGAATGAAGCTTGCGAGTAAAGCTGTTAATAAGAGATGAGTTGTTGCCGGTAACAATAATGTCATCAACATAAAGAAGCAAATAGATAAGGTTAGATTGCTGATGAAAGACAAAAAGGGACGTGTCAGCGCGACTACAAGAAAACCCAAGTGTGAGAAGAAATGAGCTAAAACGCTGAAACCAAGCACGAGGAGCTTGCTTTAAGCCATAGAGAGCTTTCTTTAATAGACAAACATGCTTTGGAAATCGAGGATCAACATACCCAGGAGGTTGTTCCATATGAACACGTTCAATAAGCGTTCCATTGAGAAAAGCATTCTTGACATCAAGTTGTCGAAGAGGCCATTTATTTGTGACTGCAATAGAAAGCACAACACGGACAGTGGTAGCTTTGACAACTGGACTGAAAGTGTCAGTGTAGTCAAGACCAGGAACCTGAGTATAACCTTTGGCAACGAGACGAGCCTTGAAACGCTCGACGGATCCATCGGGCAAATATTTAATACGAAACACCCATTTAGAGCCCACGATGTTGGTGTTGGCAGGGCGAGGAACCAAAGTCCAAGTATCATTTTGTTGTAACGCTCGAATTTCTTCATCCATGGCAGCCACCCAAGCAGGATTCTTAGCCGCAGATTTGAATCCTTTTGGCTCAGTGGATGCAAGAAGAGCAGAGAGAAGTCCAGATGAGCCCAACATACCAAGATTTGCTGGATGACGAGTCTTGAATATACCAGCTTTGGCGCGTGTGATCATAGGATGAGTGCCCAAAGAAGAGAAATCAACAGGAGGTTCAATAGAGGTTGAATTAGAAGTCGAGGGTGACAAAGTGGAACCTGCAAGAGAAGTATCAACCTGCACAGACTCATCTACAAGGTCAGAACAAATATCACACGGGGATGAACTGGATTGAGGAATGTGCGGTGATGAAGTGGTAGGGGGGGATGAATCAATATGATGAAGATGTGGTTCCAAGAAATTTGAAATAGGAATAGTGGAAAGAGGTTGGGCTTGGGAGCTAGGGATAGCAGGAAAGTGAGTTTCATCAAATTGAGCATGGCAGGTGATATATAGCTTAGTGGTGGCGGGATCAAGACAGCGGAACCCTTTATGAACAGGACTATAACCCAAAAAAATACAAGGAATGCTGCGGGGAGAAAGCTTGTTAGGCATATAATCACGCAAATAAGGATAAACACGACAACCAAAGGGATGAAAATTGTCATAATGTGGAGTGTAGCCATAAAGGAGTTCAAAGGGTGACTTACCTCCAAGAAGTGGAGTAGGCAACCGGTTGATAATATAAGCTGCAGTGCTGAAGGCGTCAACCCAAAAACGAGGAGAAAGATGAGAGTGAAAGAGAAGGGCCAAGCCAGTCTCAGTCACATGACGATGTTTTCTCTCAACACGACCATTTTGAGCAGGTGTATATGGACAAGAGAGTTGATGGTGGATGCCAGAATTACGTAAATGAGTTTTGAAACAAGTACTAGTAAATTCGGTACCACCATCGCTTTGAAATACCTTGATACGAGAAGAATATTGATTTTCCACAAATTTTTGAAATTGAAGAAAAATATCAAAAAAATCAGATTTAAATTTTAAAGGGTAAAACCAAGTGAATCGAGAATAATCATCAATAAAAATAGCATAATAAAGAAAACCCGAATTTGATTTGACGGGAGAAGGACCCCAAAGATCACAATGAATAAGATCTAACACATGAGACGACCTACGTTCATTGCGGGAATAAGGCAATCGATGGCTTTTCGCAAGCTGACAAGTATTACATAATGATGGAGAAGGCAATAAAGACGTAAGAGAAAGATGACCTTTTTTATTTAAAAAAGAAATAACAGAATGATTCACATGACCCAGACGAGCATGCCATAAATCATATGAAGCACGTAAAGATTTGTTTTTAAGGGCTGAAATAAAAGCAGAGTTGCCGCGCTCCAGCACATATAGCCCTCCATCTCTTTTACCGGTTGCCACCACCCTTCCTGTTTGATGATTCTGGATAGTAATAAGATTATTAGTAAATGTAACGGAGAGAGGAAAATCAGACGTTAATTTACTTATGGAAAGAAGATTTTTAGTGAGGTGAGGGACAACCAAGACATCTAATAAGTGAATATTTGGAACAGGAGAAAGAGTACCGATGTGGGTAATGGGTAGGGATGCACCGTTTCCTACAATCACAGAGTCCTTACCCGTGTAATTTTTAGACTGATCCAGAATTGATGGGTCGGCAGTCATATGGGCCGAAGCTCCAGTGTCCAAAAACCAATCAGCAGCATCGGGTCCAGCAATAGAACATGACGTGTTAAAGGCTTCAGCAAGGTGAGCATGAGAAGAATCAGGTCGAACATACCGTTGGTTGCAGCGGTCAGCATAATGGCCCTCTTTGCGGCATATTTGGCAATGAGGTGGTCGACGACCCTGACTTGAGTGGGTTCGTCCTCGATTAGAAGAGTTGTTTTTGTGAGAATAAGAACGACCTCGCTGGTTGGTAAAGGAAGCAGGGTGACTTTCATGGGTGCGACCACGATTAGTGGCTATGAATGCTGTAGGAGTGGAGTCAGAGGACTCAAGGGAGCGCTGGAACAACTCAAAACTTTCAGTTTTAGAGACTAGATCTGCAAAACAGGGGATAGGGGTGAGAGCCATCTGAGCAGTAGAAAAAGCTGAAAATTCGGTGCCGAGTCCACGAAGGAACCAGTGCACTTTATCAATGTCCTCGACGGGTCTGCCAATGGCATGAAGTTGGTCACAAATTTTTTTGAAGGCACGGGCATACTCAGCAACAGGTTTTGTGCCACGTTTCATCAACTGCAAGTCATCCTTGAGTCTCAGTTCACGAGCTTTTGACTGATGGCTGTACGTAGTTTCCAACGCAAGCCAAACATCACGTGCAGTAGAGAGACCAACGACAACAGCCATGGCTTCCTCAGTGAGAGAGGAGAGCAGGAGACAGAGAAGTCGTTGATCGGCTGCTCTCCATGCCAAATATTTGGGGTTGAATGTTGAGGAGGTTTCTGGTTCAAAGCGAGGTGGTGGAACCATAGTTC